TTTTCCATTTATATTTGATAGATTGAATGATTAGTATAGATTGAATCATGATGAGGGTCTGTCACAATATTTCACTTTTTACCTAAAAATTAAAATATATTTGTACACACATAAATATGTATGTATATTTTTAATTGTAACTTCTATTATCTCGTTCACTCCTATTATCATATTTTTTACGTTTCAAATCGATGAAGATAATTTACAAGAACTTATAACATTTGAGTCCATAATTGGTTTTATTAATTAAATTGTCAAAATATGAGTAAAATATTTTTTATTTTGGGTCAATAACGAAAATATTGCATTTCATTCTAATCGACATTTCTGACATACTTTTTAAATTTTTTTCTCCTGTTGTTATACTTTTAAAGGTCATTTTATTTTTATACCGACAGCATTGCATACAATAAAGGAGGTTATGTAAAGATACTTTATTTTTAAAAATATTGCAATATAATTACGAGTACTAGTAAGATGATTTTTGTATATATTTTTTTCAGTAAATGCAAAATATTTTATGTTGAATAGGGGGTTCTTTCACAAGTTTCTTGAGTAAGATATACAGTGTATTTCGATACCCTATGCCTTGTAAAGAAAAATTTTATTTATTGAACTTTTTAGATTTAGCAGAAGTTATAGAAGAGATACATTCTTTTGTAATGGTAAGTCTATAGGCACAAGCGAATAAAAGAAGTCAGTAATTGAACTCTTATTTCACAGATAAAGTAATTTGATATTGTTTTTATGAATTTTTGTACATTTTACATTAAATTACATTTTTAATGATATAATGATGTCACAAAAATGTAACTTGGCAGTTCGTATACATATAATTATGAGCAATACAGCAGAATAGAAGAAGCGTGCTTCTTGTGTGACCATGAAGAAATTTTTGTCCAATGACGTTAATCAAAATAAACTATATGAATTCTCCGCAATATTGTAATGTTGTATGATAGACTAAATTATTAATTAATTATTGTATACTATGTATGAAATATGTTTTTTTGTGATTATTTAGAATTCCATAGAACTTCAAAAAGAAATATACCTTATTTAATGAGCCACTGAACTTAAAATCAGATTACGCTTTAAAAATATAAAACATTATACTTTCATTTAAATCCGAAAAAATCAATATTCAGTTACAAACTCTACTTAATGTTGTTTAAAAAGTCTGCCAACCTTATTTCAAATTTCTTTATTTTTCACATATTTCGTTTTTTCTTTTTGTTTTCGAATCGATTCAGAAATTAAGAGAATTGCTATTCTCTTTTCTTTTTGTGACATGGGCTACTTATTTTCCATTTAAACTTAAAACTTTTATTATCTATAGTAATTTAAAAAACGGAATCACTATCGAGTTAAAACGATTAACATAAATTTTTTATACCTTTTTTTTTTATTTTTTTTTTTTTCATTAAAAACTGTTAATTATGTTGTTTAAAATATTTCACGGTTTACAAAAAAAAAAAATTATAAAAGTGCTTTAAAGCAGCATGTGAGTGACAATTATTGGCATAATGACTTTGAAAAAGAAGCAATTCTTTTGAAATTTATAACTCAATTTAAACACAAAAGTTATTTTAATTGTAAGACAAAATATGTGTATATATTGTGACTTTGTACAGAAAAAATATTGTAAAACCTTCCGAAATTTGTTAATAAAAATTGAACGAAACGAAGAAGAGAATTATTCCCCGAAATATGGATCTACGTTTCAGATCTTTTTACATAATTATTGGTCATTGGGAATTTTCTAAACATTTTTTGAAAATTTTTTATAATTAACTCAATTCACAAACGAATGCCAATATACATACGTACATAAATACTCACTTAAAAATTTTTATTTTACGTGATAGCAATTTCCTTAATTAAATTACTGAAATTAATTATAATTCTTAAAGATTTGAGGAAAACTACATAATCGTTTTATAGTAATGGAAGATGAATTATATTGTTAAATCATAGCTTATAAATTACATTTCTACTAACCTCAATTTTATTAGCGGTTATATTAGCTTACATTTGCACAAACGGTTTTCTACTCTTATCTTTTAAGAATTTCCCGCAATAAAACAGCATTATTATAGATCTTAAAATATGCATGAGCTGGTGAATCGAAAGTATTCATACATATTATATAGAATATTAATATAAGTCAGCTTCAAACTTCAAAATTTATTGAATACATACATTAAATTAGTATACATACACTAAATTTATAGTGAATTATTATTAAGCATTTAAATGTGCTTTATTTCATGACTTGAAACTTGGGTCATACATGGCAAGTCTAGCATTAGAATTGTTTTATTATATGTATTAATAATCTTATGATTTATGAAATGCATAACATATTTTTACATAAAAACAACCCTAAAACTGGGAAGATAGTGTAAATCAAGTTTACATAGACAAGTGGTTATACTGAGTTAGATAAGTTGGGCGGCAAAAAAGGGTTCAAAACCTGCAGATATTCAATTTGAATAAAAAATTAATGTAGATGTTATTCAGTAAGTGTTGTAGTTTTTTTTCAACTTTATAGGCAGTGATTAAGAACATATGAGTTATTAAAATAAATCAAACAAATTTAGTAATTGATAACCAATTTGATTTTTTTTTATATCTTAGGGGTATAATCATTTTCATGAACAATTTATTAAACAAAAAAAAGCGACAATATATTGTTTTATAGTGATTGATTTGACTATTATAAAAACATTGGCCCTTTTTTGTTTTTCATTTTATTTAAAATCGGATTAAGTTACTATTTTTATTGAAGTGCTTCATTATTAAAAACATGCAACTATTTTTTTTTTGAATTACTTGTTTTCATTTTTCTCCTTCCAATAACTTTAATTCACTTTATGTTTTATCGTTCAGGTTAATGAAATTTTTACAACTTAACCCTTAAAACAATAAACTTGTAAATTTATATGTACATACATATATATTAATATACATATATTTTGTTAATTTTTTGATATGACTTTCAATTTCTCTTTTCCGATTTTTTAAAATTCCCATAATTTTTTACTTTTAGATCATTGTAAATTATAAAATCCCCCCATATATATGTAAGTACTATGAGACGACAAATTACTTAAGGGTTATTTTTAACTATTTATAACTTTGATTTTTTTGTTTATAATTTTTGTTGTTATTAAAAGCAGTAGACGGTTAAAAAAAAAAAGTCCTTTTAGCATAACCAATCGGTTGGCTAAATTATATACGAATAATGGTATACACATAACGTATAAATTAACTGTATGTGTGTACGTAAGTTTATAGTCGATGGTAAACTTTTATTGCATGGAGTAATATAGCATGACTATTTTAATAAAAAAATAAAAAAGAAAAAACAAAGGTTCGAGAGAACATCAGACGAAAATTTATAGTCTTTATTTTGCAAGACGGACGGATAATAATAGCCTTTTGCTGGTCGATTCTTTTTTTTCCGAACATCTTTTTGTTGGTCATTTTTTTTTTAAATTTTGTTAAATTTATTCTGTTTACATACGTTGTACCTATAAATGTGATACACGTGCAATCAATATTTAAAACAATATGCTTTTTTTTCAATTCTCTTTTTTTTTTGGTTTTTTATCGAAAAAAATGATTTCTTTGAGCAGATTATAATAAAAAATTATAACATATTCACATTTAAAGGCATAATAAATACTTTAACTATTGAAATAATGCATTAAATTCTATAATTTTGAGTTAATTAAATTCTTAGTCTACATATATGAAAAAAAGGTATTAAGAATGCATAAAATCCAGAACTGGATTTATCTATATATATACAACTGAAAAAAGCCGAAGTGTAGAACTTCGATGCAAGTCGTCCCAATATACAAAATTCACTTTAGTGTTATTTTCTATTAAAAATGAAGATTTGTGTTAAATAAGCGAATAAAAAATACGATTATTATTCGCTTATTTAATAACAAGTTTACGAGAAAGCATTTAACATGCTAATTTCTTATTGCTCAATATCTTATTATTATATTAAAATAAATTAGCAGATTTATATTCATAATATTTTTGAGACTTGTAATTCTTCAGAAAGCGTAAATTGAAAGAAATTTAATTTTCGTTTTGTTAAGGTTAAGATGTTGCGCCGAAAATGAGCTGATTGTTTTTAAAACTTCGCATTTGAAATTATGGAGTATCTTCCGAAAACATGCCTAATGAAACTGAGAAAGTCAAGTAGCGCAAAGAAAGAAAAACGATCAATTTATTGCGCTATACAGATAAGTGAATCAAAGGGAAGCGAAACATTCTAGAAATTTTACTATTTATTGGCTTAGGGCCTCTAATACTCTAAGTCCGATTCTACTTACATATATCTATATTTTATAAAATTAATAAAATAAATTTTTTATTGATTATAAATTAGTGACAAAATTTTTTTAAAAATAAGTCTAAATAAAAGTTTAAAATTTTGTAATATATTTCTGAGGATAGCATTTTTTTATAAGGAGTCTTTTGAGTACGTTGAAGTAATCAAAGTTTATCAATACAAATATTTAATATGAGAATTTAACATTGAATCTTTTTACAGTTTATTGTAATTAATTAACATTAAGATTACACAACATAGTTAGAAAACTGAAAACTTAAGTATTGTAAAAAACTTCACTGAAAATCCACCAAAGTGGTATAAAAGAGAAAAATCGAGAACAATATCAACCTTTGATAAATAATCAGAATAAGAATTCGAGGCTTCGAATTATTCATTTTCTTTTAGAAAATTTTAACTTATGATATAAAAATGGAAATTTCTGTAACATAAATTTTTTAAAGAACTTTTAAATAAGATCCATATTGAGTTGCTAATAATAAAATATTTTGAATTCACAAAAAGAACCTACTTCTCTACAGCAAATTCAGAAATTTCAAGTTCAAATTAAATTTATTTTATGTACATAAATTAAATAAATAAATATCTTGAGCTTTGTAAGAAAAAAAAAATGACATAAACAAACCTGATGAAATAAGCCCTTAATTGATTCATGATCCTTTAAATTTTGTTCCTTGAAATTGTTAGTCAATAGTAAAAAAAAAATTGCAAAAATTTTTTTATGCTTTTCAATTAATTTAGTTTATTTCTTTTAATATTTATTCATAGACTATCAAACAATTCTTTTCCAATATCAGACTTGATTTTTTTCACAAATTTTAAGTAATAGCAGTGTTAAACCATTGACTTTTCGAGCACTTATCAAATTTAAATTACGAACAATGTAAAATTACTTATCGTTTATTTAAAAATTTAAAGTTGTTTTTACTATAAAATTAAATCCAACAAAAAAAAAAATTAATTTTCTTCCCGTTTTGTTGAAACTTCAACAAATTATGCACTTATTATGGTAATTTTTTTTACACTGCTCAAACTTAATGTCTGTTCCTTATTAAAATTAAACTGTTATGCACACCAGCAACTTAAAGAATTTTATGAAGACAATAGGCATTAATCACATGTACATATAAATATATTACTTGTATGTATGAACACGTAATTATTATTTACTTCTATTTTTTTTATATTTAATTAAAATTTTACAAACATACACTTGCTTTTATTTCTTGTTAAAAAAAAAAAGAAAATTTAAAAATAAGACGACGTGAATTAAATAAAAAATTTATCCACTATCAAATACCGCTCAAATATGTATAATACGTTCATTTCAGATAAAATCTTAATGCAGACTGGCATACGATGCAAAATTAACTTTGTATTTCACCTGTAATTTTTCTTTTTTTTTTTTTTGTTATATTATTAAAACATTTTTAATTCTTCTTTTTTGTTTTATGTTCTACGTTTGAAATCATTTTCATTCATAAGTATGCTACTTACTATAAATACTACATTATTTGATGTTTGATATTATTATGTATGCTATACCAAAATGTTTATACACTATTCAAATATGTATGTATACCGTTTTTACATACAAATTTATACTTATGTATAATGACTCCATATTTTGTTATACTAAATGTATCATACATAATATAAATGATGATGATTATTGATTCATCGTTATGTTATCATATTAATTGTAATAAACTTGTTCGATTTGAATTTGGTATGCGCATCAAACATAAAAAAAATAAAATTTCCTTCGAACAAATATAATTGTGTCGTTTGCATACTCTTATACATGTTACATGTAATGTAATGTTATTTAGAAACTCCAAATTCTAAATCCCAATTAGTGACTCGTAATAACACATGTTGGATGTACAACTAACAACTAACAGAAAATTTATTATAACATTACAGACCTAGAAAATTAATAATAATTTGTATTTGAACTACACAAGTACATTTATAGAGTTAAGCGTGGAAATTTCAATTGAGTTGTAAGTGAAAACAGAAGCGATATTAAGATATATGATGTGAATATAATAAATAGAATATTTTTTTTTTCATGAAAAAATAAAGAAAAATAAAAAAAAAATAAATTTGAAGAAAAACAATTATTTGTGAATTTCGTGTTTAGAATTTTTAAATATTAACTATTTTTTTATGATCAATAGTCTAGTTCTAGTATTTAAGACACATAACAATTGCACATACAGAATATAGAATAGAATTTTATTTTGAATGAAATAAAAAAGTATTAAGTTAGGCGCTTGAAAACTATGTACCAACTAATATACATACATACATACATAGATAAAATTTTTATCGGTTGCTTTTAAATGATAAGTGTCGCAGAACTAAACAATTTTTTTTCATTATTCTTCTAATACAAATCATATAGAATAGATCATTGAATACTTTTTGGCACCTATTTGATAAGTTTCGGTGCAAAATTGGTTTTTATATTAAAAGTTAGCACAAAACAAATCATTTTGTATTATGTATGATGTATACAATTTGACTTAGAATGTTGACAACTAAAAAAGTTGATCTTTGAGATTTTATATACATAGGTTTTAAGTCAACATGCGCTAATATCTTATATTTCATTTTAATTAGAAAACATTTTACAATAAGGCACTTTCTTAATGAATAACGTATATAGGTTTGATTCCTAAAAAAACAATGTACATACATCGTATTTTTAAGTATTAAAAGAAAGATAAAATAAATGAATGTACTTATGTACATATATATGTACGTATTATACATTCACGCTTTCATATTTCATTGGTCTTCAATTCCGTCGAATTATGACAGCAGTTTTGCGATCCAAACAATCTTTTAAAGATGATAATATGTTTATAAAATAGTCTTTTCTTCGACATTTAGAAAATTTTATAATTTTGAAATATTTTTGGTCTTCATAAATAATGACAATATTTCAGACAATTGAGTATGTTTAAATTTTTTGACATTTTTTGTTAGTTTATAACGTATAAAATATTTTATATAAACTATGCTACAGAATAACGTAGGTTAAATGTTAAATTTGGTTAAGTCTTAAGTTTTCTCATACGTAGATTAAGGGATAGAATCAGAATATCAACAAATCAAAATTTTTGTTTCTTCGGAATGCTAAAAAAAAATTTAATATAATCTTTTTCATTTGTTTCCTTTTTATAAAATTCATCAATATTATAGAAATTCAGCATAAATTAAGCATAAATCGTGATCGAGAGTTCAGTAAGCCCAGAAAGCTAAGTCAAATGAATACTTTTTTGGAAATGAATACAACTTTGGAGCCCTTAAATGGGTTTGTACACTTAATATTTTGTGCTAAACAAAATCAACTTTTTTTTTACTATAATAATGAATAAATAAATAAATTTTATAGACAATCAAAATATAGAAATAATAATTACGTAATACTATTTGAGAAGAGTTGAAAAACAGGAAGAATGCAGCGCTTCATTGAAATGTGTCTTATATCCCAACTAATTGTTCATATAATGGGTCTTATTTTTATTTGCATTATTTTGAAAAAACTCAAACATGCTTATTAAAATTTGTGTTAGGGCCTCATAAAATTCTAAAAGCTTGAACCAAATTTTGGATGTTGAGTTTTCAATGGGAACGCGCACTTCTTAGTAGGGAAGCGCAAATAAACTGTTTTTAAAGAGATATCAGTTTGTTAGTCTATGTGTGCACGCGTGTATCTCAAGTTCTGCTGAACCGAATTTGATGAAATTTTTTGTGTGAGTTTATTTCGGCTACCATATCCACGGAGGGAATTTACGAAATTTCTTGAAATTTAATTCTGGTAGTTACCCAAAATAACTGGTGAATTTTTCAGGGAATTCGGGTGGCACAAAGCGAAATTCTTCTAAGAGACAAATTTACAATTTTCTAGGTATGCCAATTAAAAGCTTGCTGATTTTCTTAATTTTTAGAGGTTTGTTTTTAAATGAAGTAGTGTCAATGGAAGCTTGATTAATTGAAGAAATAAACTGAAATTGATGATAATTTTTTGCTGAAATCGATCAAACCAAATATTTAAAAAATTTTGGCAAATGTTCACAAATATTATTTTAAATTTAATTCTGACCACGTTCTCATTTTTTTTATTTTTTTCTTAACTCTTTAATTTTTTTTATTTAATTTGTTCTAATTCTAGTTTTTAATAAACCAATGAATTGTTTTCCAAAACAATTTTAATTTATATTTTAACATTTCATTTATTTTATACAAAAAAAAAGAAAATATGTGCTTGAAATGAGGTTAAACACATTGAAATTTTATTTTACATTTTACTAGTATAGAAAATGTACACGAATGTTTAAATTTTTAATGTTATGGTGTAAATATCCAGATTATATCAAAATGTATTTTTACCAAATATGTGTACATTATTAATTTTGAAAATAAATTCCAATAATCTAACAAAATAAGTGCAATATACCTAAGGTACAAAATGGAATGAGAAGGTTATTTAATTTAATTCATTTAATATATGAGTATAACAGGTTTGTTAAGGATAATTTGGTATAAAGCATGATTCATATCAGAAATATCTAACCTTTACAGAAATATGGTCAGATTATAAAGTAGAAAGGTTGTGCGAATCGCAATATTTCTGAATGTGTTTTGGGAAAAAATTTTCAATTCAAAATCAATATACTTAATCTAATTACATTCCTAGTTAATTTTTTAACTAGGAATGTTTATAAAACAACTGAATAACGTAAATAGTTTCAGGGTTAACGGAGCAAATCCAATAAGGTTTTATAATAAATCAGATATCTCGCGTGCCTTTGTTTACATATATCTGATCTCTATATTATATAAAATTTGAATTTTCCACATTTTTATATATATAATATATATATATGTATATTTATACATATATATATATAATAGCGTATATGGCAGTTAAGGAAACTGTTTAAAATTCAAAAAATTCCATTTAAAAGCAAAAAAATGAATGTATTTTAAAATAAATAAATTTAATATAAAAGATTTGGATTTGGTTTACTTATGATCACATACATTTATACAATCATAAATGCATGTATGTATGGTTAGGTGCTTTTGGAAAACAAAATAAAACCAATAATAGACATTATGCTATGAAAATAATTTAATGAAATTAAAATATGGTTTTTAATTTTCCTTTATGCCATCGAAAAAAATTTTATTGAAAAATTTATTATAAAAATAAAATATTCAATTTGTGTTCTATTTAAGCTGCTGGTCTGAGTGAGATTTCAAATCTAATATAAACGTTTATTTTTATTTCAACATATTTAAAACAAAAATTCTTGATAGTTTCATTTTTAGCCCTTCTACAAAAAATTATTGAAAAAAAGTGCTTATTAGTTTCTTATTAGGACGGACAGTGTCTGTCCGTGGACATTTTTACAAAACTCCTACACCCTTGAAATTTAATATGTACATTAGATCTTTACTAGAAACTTATTTCCGTAGAGAAAAAACTTAACCCTAAAAATGGCCTTTTTTAACTATTTGTTGCAATGAAACCATAAGCATTTTTCAAATTTTGCAAACGCAGAAAGGCAGTAGCTTGCTTCTGTCGCGACACACTAAAATTAAACTTTAAAAGAACAAAATGGCTGTTCAAATTTACCGTTATCTAAAATCGGTTTTTTCAAAATTTTTAATGACGTTTTCTACACCCCAGGTTGTAGGAGCTTGAAATTTTAGCAGCTTTTAGACACTAATAAATAGTTTTTTTCGTTAGAAGAAAATTTTTTTCCATTTCCACCCCCTCTCAAGTTATTGCCTCTTGAAATTTTGTAAAATTTGAGTTTTTGACGCCTTATATTTTCGAAACCGCAAGCTTTTTTAAATTTCTATAAATGCAAAAAGCTAACGGTAAATTCCATGACATTTAAAAATATAATTATTTTTCTTAACTCACACAATTAATATATTAATTGTGTGAGTTAAGAAAAATACTACACACACCACTTTATATTAATTTTTGTTTTATTTCAGAGATTGCATTAATCGTTCATCCCAAATATATGCAATCCTAGAAATAGTTTCTTATATGAATGAAAATAATTTTTATAGTGTGGTAGGTATACATAGACTGTATTTAAAAGCAGAATTTTCACTTGTCGAAGAAAAAAGTGCTACAATACAAACCATTGGTTTGACCCAATTTTATTTTCATTCTTCCCGTTTTTTGGTTTCGAAATTCAACATGCTTAAAGACAGAAAACTGCAATTTTATGAATACGAAAACTCCCAAAATT